CCCAGAGTTCAATCCAGAAATTCTTTGCAAATAAGTCTATCGTGTAGAGCAAACATTTCTGAAGAAATTGAGACGTCTCCGAGCTGTTTACGACATTTTCTCATGGAACAAGAATCAATTTACAAAAGGCCCTAAGAGGATATCTTCTTGTTTTTCCGTTAGTTTTGCTGCTATGGGGCTTTCCGTAAATTGATTCTTGTTCCATGAGAAAATGTCGTAAACAGCTCGGAGACGTCTCAATTTCTTCAGAAATGTTTGCTCTACACGATAGACTTATTTGCAAAGAATTTCTGGATTGAACTCTAGGACTTGGTTTTCTGAGATTTGAGTTTTTCAGAGACCCTGATTCCAGAAGTTTTGATAGAGCCTTTGTATACACCACCTGAGATCGGAAATTCTTTCAGCTATTCAAATCTTTTTTCAAATTTATTCTAGCTATTATGATCATGCAATAATTGCAACTAGACGTATTTATATGTCGCCGGGAGCCAAAGGGTTAACAATTTCTTATCAACATCAATTTCTCCTGCGACAATCCATTGTGTAAATAATGCAATAAGTTTTTCTGGAATAATTGTTGCTTCATCAATGATTTTTCGCATTTCTTCTTCTTCTTTCTTGAATTCTTTGCTATCTAAAACACCAAGATAATAACCAATCGAACCATATTGCTTGAGTAAATACCCAATTTCACTCCATTTTTGTTTTTGAGCGATAGAAATCCATTCATCTAAACCAATCTTCACCAACTGCTCAGATCCATTCGATGCATGTTGAAGCATTAAAATAATCTTATAAAGATCATCTTCATTAATTGTTGAATGATAATCACTGAGTTTAACTGCTAATAAAGCTTTGTAACGAGTATTTGGTATCAACTGGATACCAGTAAATATTTTCGATGATGGACTAAATCTTTTTCCAAAATGATATTCCAGTCTAGCATATAAAAACACATCGACAAGTTGTGATTGTGAAACTGAATTAGCAAGTAGGAAAAGATAATTGACATCACAATGATACAATGTTTTTAAACTCGCAAGTGATGCAAAGATAAATTGCAGTTCAAATAATGAAAAATGGCAACCATCAACCCAAATTCGATTATAAAGAAGATGAAGAAGTGATTGGTCTTGTGTGATGGCTATGTAATTTTCAATCCATTCAATAACAGCACTTTGAAGTGGTGATGGAAAATACGATGCACATGCTGAAATATTTTCTTTTTTATTATAATCTATTCGTGTGAAATCTTGCATTTCAGCAGCTAAATCCTTTTCATACTTCGATACCATTAACTTTTGAGCAGCAACTAATCTTCGAAAATCTTCATCAGGAGCAATACCAATTGGTTGTTTACCATCATGTAACCATAATGTTTCACATTCATTAGCCATTGGATTAAGTATTTCAATATTCTTCAATGTTTGATAACTAATTTTTCGATAGGAACATAATTTTATATTTAAATGAAGCGATAAAAGATATCGAAATGGTGCACAAGCTAAACCATGATTCACCATATAAACTTCACAGTCGTTACCATCAGATGGTACAGGATGTGTTTGGTATTGCTCGAGGAACGAATCGAATTCATTATGCTTGACAAAACAGATATCTTCTGGAAAATTTCCTTGTTCTTTTAACATCATAGCATTACAAATATAAAGATTCTGATTGTAAGTAAGAATAGATTTTGCTAAATAATATATTTTGATCAAATGTTGTGCTTGTTCAATTGACTTGTTATCAATTAATGAACGTGAAATGAATGATTTTGCACTATCAAGATATCCACTCTTATCGAAACTTGGTGGTGAACCAAACCTTGCTTTATACTCTTGATTTTTATTGATCAGCTCATTGAGAGGTTTGATAATTTGATCCCAATTTTTTAAATCAGCAACAACAGCTTTGAGAAAATTTTCAAAATCAGATTCGAATTTCGTTTTCTGGCGTCTCGGAGCATTACTTTGTTGATCATCTTCATCATGAGCTTCGATATCTTCTATATTATCTTCATTTTCTTCATATTTTTTCTTCATTTTCTTCTTTAATAAAGCATCTTCAACTAACCATGCTTTCAAACTATTCAGATAAGTTTGAACAACATCTTTGTCAGTCCATCGAAAATTTTTATCTTGAACAAATGATGCCAGGGATTGATTATAAATTGGATTGATACTTTTTAAAAATGTATTCAAAGCATTTAACAATTTAATATTAACTTCATGGTTGAGATATTGAGAGAAAAATGCTTTTACGACTGATTTAATATTGATTGGATTCAAATATGGAGTAAAAGAGAATAGTTGATTTTGATGTTCCTGTTTTGTTGATAAATCTATAGTACTTGTGTCATTTCATTTCATGTAGGACTTTGTTTTTTTCGTGGATTAAGAACTGGGAACTAAATATTGTGTCACGAAAAACTTGTTAATTTTCTTTATAAAAATAAACAGAAAACGAAAAAATGGCAAAAATATCTTGACTCGACTCGAAGCCGTTACGGAATGTATCGGACTCGACTCGACTCGAAAAATGGCTTGACTCGCCCATCTCTGAGTTTCAGTGTGGAAGCAGAAAAAACTAAGCCCTTTCGTTTTTGCTACATTTGTTACAAAGTTGAGCCGTTTTTCTCCTAACAGTTTTGAAAGTCAAAAACTGGGTTACCTTTGTCAGAAGATGCACAAAATCTAAGAGATTCGCCTATATAGGTTCAATTAGCATGTGGGCCGTGTTAAAAGATCTCAAAATAAATACACTAAAGTGAGAAATGCACCAAATGGTTGATTATCGATCGTCTCTATGAGTTTCCTCGGTGTAATATCGCTTTGTTGTTGGTGACTTACAGGATGTAGCGAAGATCAGTTCGGTCCTGTTTGACGC